TTTTGTAAGTGTTTTTGCCCAAACTTTATTTGAATGGCCATTAAAGAAAAGTACTGAGTATTAAAGTTAGTTTCACTTTGAGGAAAGTGCATATATCCAAAACATGGCTGTGGCTCCTTCCATTTGAGGAAACCTTGGGTTTGAAGTCTTTTGATGTACTTAGCAGTATCCGCAAAGACAGTCAAATTCTTACGCGCTTTCGCGCCTTCGTGGGATTCATATGCGAAGCATCTGCTCTTCGAGCCGTAAGGTTGCCACCGCATACTTCTAAAGATGTTGTGGCCAAGGAAAGGTACTCCTTTCGACACATGGGTAATATGGGTTTTGTCCATAGACGAAACTTCGTAGTAATAAAATAAATACGCGCAACTAACTAAATGCCATAAAGGCTGCGCGTACTCGGGCTTGGTTGGTGGTGATTTCTATATGTACATTCTTACCACCAACGATAATGAGAAAAACTACGATCTGATTCAGCTAATTTATGAAGATAATCTCTTTTTTTTCTAGCAAATCCTTGTTTTTTCGAAGCATCCACATGACCAATTGCGTATCACGGTCCGCCCAATCAACAATAATTCGGGGGTGCCTACCTCGTAGGACGATGTGGTGGATAAATCCACTAGGGCTATGCGGCAACCGCTGTTCAGCTACAGGTAAAAACCAGATTTTTATTTTGAGGAGTTGCACAAGAGTGAGGCTTGCATCGCTAAAGCGAGGGGTGTGGGTGCAGAGAATGGTTGAAGTTGACCCCGTGTAGTGCATGGACTTTTGGTTGAATCTTTGATGTGATTGCAGGTATGTTTGGTGTTTCGGACTTTGGATTTGAATGTCTGCGATCATATACATATATATGGCTGAGAGGAGTCCCATTGTGATTGTGAGAAGTGATCGTCACATAATTATAACCCTCTATATATCGTCAAATAGAACTGCCCGGTAAACCGTAGGCAGAGAGGGAGAAGAGGACAACAAACGAGGGGTATGTAAATAAATTTGTCTTGAGTATTTCGCGCGGCCTACTGTGACCGCACGTGAGGGTTAAACAGATTATGTTTTTGAGAGGAAAGGGAGATCCCCTGTTATCCTTTACTTTTTAGAGTTTTTATAGTTGGACGTTGTAGTCCGTGGCAGCCGTCAAAGTCAAACCCCTTGATTTTCTCTCCAGGCCCTAGATGATGGTGCAGAAGAGTGTGTGCCACCACAGGTATGAACCTGTGTACCACCCACTCTCCGCAGGGTGCAGAAGAGTGTGTGGTTCTCAACCGCACTTGGCAGTTGTCCAGCGTCGAGAGATCAGTCCCTCAAGACGCGTGTCAGCCGACACTTGAGTGTCGAACGCGACCCTCGAGATTAGCGAGGATTGCATGAGTATGGATACTACATAGCACGCCATCATTACGACCGCTTGTGTACGCATGCATTGCGAGTCGATATGAGTTAGCCCTGTGTCCACGCGGTTTTATATTAAGTCTCGCGCGCGACACCTAGCCGATTTTCGCATCGGAGAGTTGTGGGATGGCTACTAAGGGATTAGGAGTGTTGTCGCGTTGTTTGTTCTGTGTCGTTCAGTATATGTATGTGTACGTGTGTGTGTGTTTATTTTTATGTTCTTTATAGTGGTGTGCGCGTGGCGTGTGAGATGTGTCCTAGTCGACCGGCGACGAGTCGCGCTTGGGACCTCAGCCCCCCAAGATGCCGGTTCGCGTGCGGGTTCGATAGAGGCGTAATATCGCGCGTACCCCCTATGCTACAGCGAACGAGAAACGCCCTCGGCTGGTCCATCTCTGCGATTGCAACTGATTAGCTTTCGTACTGTGGACTGGTCTCTCGGCGGGGATACGCCCACCGAAGGGAGGTGACATCTCCCGCAAGGTGGAGGTAAGTCGTGCCTCGCATAGGCCCTATCCTGTCGTAGGGGCTCGCGAGAGGTATGGCTGGCGCATTCGGCCGGAGCGGCTTGTGGAAGCTCCATATGTATTCGCCACGAGGATGAAGACCAACTCCTGCGTGACGCGGCCGAGAGGGTCCCGCCCCGTTTTGTGCGGTGCCGGACCGATGCGCTCGATAGCGGAGGGTTTGAAGCCCGATGACGCGAAGGTGGCCAACATTCGTGATTGGCCTCGTCCTTAGTCTGTAACTGAGATGAGTTTTTTTTTAGGGATGACTGACTACTACCGTAACTTTGTTAAGAACTATAGCATAGTAGCCGCTCCTTTGACTGACCTGACCTACCTTGACACCCCATGGTAGTGGACAGACAGGTGTGAGGCTGCTTTAAAACATCTGAAGCATGCGTTGACGCATCATGAGATCTTGAAACTTCCTGATCCTGACAAGCCGTTCATAGTAACCACGGACGACAGCCAATATGACATTGGTGTCGTGCTAGTGCAGCAGTAGGGGCCAAAGTTGAGGCCAGTGGAGTACATGTCCAAAAAGATGCCCTCTCAGAAGTTGGCTAAGTCCACCTATGAGGAGTTGTACGCGATCTATAAAGCG